TGGTTATGCTACCCGACTTAGACGACCTCTCTCCTGAATGTGACATCAAGCCTGCTGACGTTGGGCAACCTGGCGAGAGCACGGAGGCTCAAGAGAAGTAGTTGAAGGCCGTCCTGAAAAGGCACCAGAAAATCTTCTTAGGCGACGGAAATGCTGCCCCGCCTCCGGCGAGGGGCGTCATCTGTGACTTAGATGTGGGTGATGCCAGGCCAGTTGCCCAACGACCCCGACCAGTCGGTCCGCACTTAGTAATCAAGGTGTATAAGTTGCTGAAGAAGCTCCTGGAAGCTACACAGATTGAACACTCTGAATCGCCATGGGCATCCCCAATTGTGATCGTACTTAAGAAGAATGGAGTGGACATTCGAATGTGTATCGACTAGCGAGTCGTGAACAGCTTCATTCAATTGTCGAACTACCCACTACCACTGATCAACGATCTAATTACTGGTTTCGAAGGAATGATGTGGTTTTTATGAGTCTTGCCATGGCGAGTGGTTTTTGGCAGTCCGAATGACTGAAAGGGCTAAGCTGATTTCGGCATTCACTTGTCCATTTGGGCACTTCCAATGGGTACGCATGTCATTCGGGTTGAAAAACGCCCCACTCATTTACCAACAGATGATCAACAATTGCCTGTGGGGATTTGTGCGGCTACCACCCGAAGAAGAAGCACTCGTGGATCAGGATGTGTTAGACTACTTGAAGTTGGACCCTCAGTCTCCGAGTGATGAAATGGATGGAGGACGCAGTATGACACCACTTGTGGAGCAAATGACGGTTTTCAGGCGTACCATTCCCGCACCATCCCAAATGGGGCCAGTCCTGGGGCGCAGTTCGTATATTGATGACATCGCGCATGGGGCGGCCACATGGAACAGCTATGCGGTGATTTAGATACATTGCTCTATCGGTTACGACCCTGGAGTATCTCAGTTAGCTTGCCCAACAGCGAGTTCGGGAAGCGTGTCATACCATACGTCTCTCATGAAATTGGCGCTGAAGGGATACGTGTCACCCCGAAAACCGTAAAAGGTATTCAGGAGTTACCATTTCCGTCTACCCTGAAAGGAGTCCAGTAATTTCTAGGCAGCCTGAATTACTACCACAAATTCATTGAGGATTACGCCGGGGTAGCTGCTTCACTCTATGAGTTGACAGATGATCAAGTGCGCGCAGGACGAGACTTGTCTCGAGCGAAGGAATCCTTTGAGATCCTGAAGAGGAAGATCGTGTCTACACCTCTACGCAGACATCCAGATCGAACGAAACCTTTCGTGGTCATCCCTCATGCGAATCAGTGGGCTGCTTGTGCGGTTCTAGGACAGATGCATGACGGACTTGTTCAGCCCGTTTGATTCACGGGGCGTGTCCTGAGTGACGCCGATCTCAAGTACCATATTGCTGAGAAAGAAGTTCTCGCTGTGATGCGAGTGCTCCATGGGTTCAAGAATCTGATCGAAGAATGTTCGTTGATAATCTACACTCGACATTCAGTGTTGAAATGGGTCATCAATTCCAGGACCGCCGAAGGCCGTCTGGTGCCATGGGGCGTCGCTCTCGCACGATACGACTTGGAAATTCGGAAGGTCAGTCGTGATGAGGATGGTTTAGCCGCCTATGGGCGCAAGAAAAACGCCCAGGGAGCACTTGGATGAAGTCGCCGAAGCACTCATTCCAGTCAAGGGGCGCGTCAAGCCGCCTCCAGTCGTGAGCGTCGAAATGCTCTCAGAGGAGTACTCCGGAGTAGTCCTGAGTTTCGATGGTGCTGCCAAAACATCCACAAGGAAGGGCAGCCGCGGGTGTATTCTGTGGCAGTTACCTGAATGGAAGGTATTGGATGCTCGAGGACACATCCTGGATGGAGTCACCGTCAACGACGCGGAATACTTCGTGTTGCTTAAATGGCTTGCAATGGCTTTGTAAAGAGGAATTCAGGACATAGTCGTCATGGGTGAGTCGAGAATTGTGATTCAACAAGTCCAAGGTCTGATTAATTGTAACCAGCCTAATCTCCAAAGGAGGCTAGCTGAATGTAAAACCCTGAAGAAATGTTTCCAGACGATTCGATTGGTACACATGAAGGGGGAGTTCAACCAGGCCGCTGATTTCCTTACCGCGAAGACTCTTGTCCGAGGCGAATCCTGGATTGTTCAGGATGACCTCGAAAAACGGCATCTGGAAGTAGTATCTAAGATTCGCGAACAGTTGGTGAAGCACCGAGCCCTCGGAAGACACCGGCACTCGAGTTCACATTGGAGACCCCATACAAGCCTCTGGTGAAGAAGATGGCAATTCAGAAACGATACATGATCCTGGCCCTGAATGTGCCCTTCTATCTTCTGCCGCCCGAGTCATGGCTGTACTCACGAGATCGCGAGCTCAGGAAGTTGATGACGACGAGGTTCCGCCCATGGGACTGCTAGAGTTTCAGGCTGAACGCTGGAGACGGATCAAGGTTCATCAAGAGAGTGATGAGCATCTAGCAGAGATAAGGGCGTTCCTGAATGACGACCTGGACAGGTTCTCATCCACACGTCTGAAGAAGATCAGTAAGGTCGGAGATCAGTTCGTTCTGGGTGACCGAGAAATATTGTACAGACTTTCACACTCTGTTTGCGAAAGACCCCGAGACGCCGTGGATAATCTGAGACGAGTTCACTTCGGGAAGACATGTTGCACCACGCGCATGAAGAATTTCAAGATGGACATCAAGGGATCACCCGGACTCATGAGAAGTTACGTACCGAAATCTTCTGGCCCCGCATGTATGCGGACGTCCAACATTTTGTGAAAGAATGCGTGGACTGTGCCAGTGGAAAAGGGAGGCCCCCGAATGCGGGACCTTCGCTAGGAAACATTGAACCACGGTATTCTTTCGAGGCAGTTTCTATGGATTTCGTGACTCACCCATATGCCAGAAACAGCCAGAGGAAACACGTTCCTCTTGCTGTTTCAGGACATGTTTTCAGGTTACGTGATGTGTAAACCCATGTCGTCTACTACCGCTCAAGATGTCGCTGAGGCTTATGAAGAACAAGTGATCCAGAGATTCGAGGCGTCTTCCATGATACGGCATGATCAGGACCCGCGGTTCATGAGTGAAGTATTCACGAGCTTCCGAGAACTCTTAGGTAGCCGACAACGTGCTACACTCAGATACCGTCCACAATCGAATGGACAACAGGAAAGGTCTGTACAAACGGTCATTCAGAGTGTTCGAGCGTACGTCGCCGAGATGGATCAGTCCGACTAGGATAACCGCGCTGAGTGACTGATGTTCGCCCTGAATGTCTCGTTCGACGCAACTAGATTGGACACCCCTTTCTTTTTGGTCTATGGTTGGGACGCCCGAAGCACAGTGTCAGCAATGTTGGGACCAAAATCTTCGAGCGTTCCTGAACGTAGCGCATATGAGTGGCGACTGAAACTACAGCGTGAATATAGCTACGCACTCGCTTGCGCTGAGGATCTCCAAAAGAAGGCTAAGAAGATGCGCTCGGACGAACAAACCCGAAAGTGGTTGGAACTATCAGAAAGGGTCAAAGCTGGTTTGAGAAGGGCGACTCCGTTTGACTGTATATCCCGAAAGTTCAGAATGGATTGAGCCGGAAGCTAGAACACATGTGGCACGGGCCATTCAGGATCGACGAAATTCGGGATGACTTCCGTGTGAGACGGAAGGTGAAAGACACAGGTTATAGTGTTAACCCTTGGGTACACATTAGCCGACTCAAGCCGAAAGTAATTTTCCCAAAGAGACCAACAGTCGAGGTTGACATCGCAGACGATGATGATTTCGATGCGGCGCTATTGCCTGAAGACAGTTGGGAGCCTGATAGCTCGAATGACGTGTTTGAGGTGGAGTCAATTCAGGATGTACGATGGGTGAAACGCACCCAAACTGCGACGCGATCTCGAGAATATCTCATCAAATGGAAGGGGTATGATGACCCAGAATGGATACCGGTGCCACAGTTTAATTGTGCATCACTATTGTATGAATTCAACAAAGGAACGCGAGCACGAGCTCGTTTTCAGGCGATGCAGGCTGGGGATGACCACCCGAGAGTGTAGTCAACCCGAATGACATTACTGAACGACGTTAGATCGTGGAACTATGTGAACGGATTATGATTTTGTTTGATTCTTGATGAAGTATTGTGGAGATATCCAGGATGTTGAATGCGGAATTTACTTAACTAAGAGTGTCGAAATGGATACAAAAATGGTGAATAGTATCGGATATGGCGCGATGGATAAGAAAGACAGTGAACCTGAACTATGTGAACTGATTATGATTTTGTTTGATTTTTGATGAAGTATTGTGGAGATATTCAGGATGTTGAATGCGGAATTTATGATAACTAAGAGTGTTGAAATGGATACAAAAATGGTGAATAGTATCGGATATGGCGCGATGGATAAGAAAGACAGTGAACCTTGAAGATGTGAATGACAGTTGTATTCTGGATGTTAACGCTAATGCTCTGACGTGCAATACGTAAAATGATTCTGGAGGAGTCAATTAGGCGAAGTCCATGGTGACACGGTTCTTCTGCGACGAGCGCTGTGAACCTTTCAGGAGTTTCAATGGATAGTCCTCCGGGAGATGCTTAATTCGGTCTTCATCCGAGGCGCAAGTGTTCCACTGGACGCGTGCTGGCTCTTGGTCATCTAACAGCTCCATCTGCTCATTCAGGGTGTAGCGAGTGCCGTCGTCCTTGATGTGCGACTCATGCATTAATATCCAGTGGCAGCATTTGGCGGGGATGGTCCAAGAACCAGGTTCATCCAGAATTGTTTCTTCAAGGCCGGCATTGACACGATCATCCAGGAGTTTCTTGTACTCCTTCTTGGCTTTGTCGCACTCGGGAAGTTTCTTAGAGTATAAATCGTCGGTCTCGAAGTCGATGAACACCCAGTGCCCGAACCACCAAATCGCGCGACGATGCACAGACATGAATACCACTATGGCATCCAGAGACTCGCGAGCGACGACCTTCAGGTTGTCCCACACGTGAAGGATCAGAAACTTGGAGCGGTCTTCAAACATGATGTCCCAAGGTTTCGTGTCCATGAGCTCCTTGAATGCGACTGGATCCCAGCGTTCTCGTAGTGCTTGAACATCTTCGTCCTTGTCCAAATTTGGAGCGTAATCTGGGAATCCGAATGCCTGTGTTACGGCGTTGGCCGTGCCTGGAGGAAACTTCATCAAGACCCCATGGTGACGCCACGAGAGGATACCTTGACCTGGCACTTCGACGATCCATTTCTCGGAGTCGCTCAGGGAGCCGTAACTCTTGCGTGCCAGAGCCGTTTGCTTTCGCTCTTGTCATGGACGCGATTTCTTGCCGTTGCCTGACTTGGCGCGCATCTTGGGTGGAGACGACGCACGCTTAGGTTTGCTTTTGAATGACGAATCCGAAGTGGTGTCACGTCCACGCTTTGCCTGTCGAGGAGGAGTAGTACGACGCGGAGTTTTGTTCTGACCATCATCGCCTGGGGAAAAGGTCGCATCGCGCCCTTCATCGTCTCCGTGACACTGTCGTAAAGCGCAGCCATAATTTCCACAGTGTCATCCTGGATGTCCTTGCGCAAATTAGGCCAACGAGTGGGAATTTCTCCTGAAATGAGAGCCTTGGCAAGTTTGGACTCAGCCTCCTTGTAACACCAACATGGAACGTACTTGACCCAAGGAGTCTTATCCAGACTTTTCCAGTAGATGATGCCCACGAACATGGAGATGAGATGTCGAGCATCCAGGTGCGAGTGAATCTCAGTATCGGACCGAGCCGCAGCGAGAGCCTCATCGTAAGACATGTGCGACCGCATGAGTTCCTGGATATCCGCACGAAGCTTGTCCCAAAAGACGGGTTGAGTCAAGCCCTCACGTGCCTTGGTGACAGAGGGCTGTTTGACCGTCGTGGGATCCAGGGTGTCGGTCGTGTTCGGGGTGTAAATACTGGGTCGAAGCTGAAAATCCGTGAGAACCTTGGGCTTAGACCCACTGAACAACTTGTGTTGAATCTTGGCAGGGGTAGACTCAGTTGAGGATGGTCACGTGAGGTCCACCGTGGAAATTTTCAGGGTGACCTGAGGCTTGGGTACCTCAGGAACCTTGGACTCCTCATCGTCACTCTCCACCTCATATTCGTAAGCGCCCGGGTCGGCATCGAATCCGTCAGCCGCGTTGATTGGATTTGCGTCTTCCAGGCGTCAGGTGGAAGTGAGCCGTCCTTGAACTTCTCTAGCAGTGCTTTCAGGCGCGGCTAGATGCCGCTAATCCGAGCGTTATGACGATTCAAGAAGTTCTTTACGCGACTAATCTTGAATGTTCCACCTCGGAGTCGATCTTCAAGTTGCCGATTGACTAAGCGGTGGTCTTCAATCTGGTGCTGTAACTCGGCATTCTCATCCCGAACCACTTGTTCTTGGCGGCCGTGCTCTTCCGCGGCCCGCTAAAATTCACGGTCACTTTCGGAGAGCCGACTCTGAGCCTGCTCCAAAATTGCAGCCACTTGTTGGTCGAAAGCCTTTTCGAGGAGCGCGAAGTCCCGACGTGCGCTGCGAGCATCGTCCGAAGAATTACCCAACTCGAGCGTAATCTTGGATGTACCCAGAGTGCAGGTAACCTGAGAGACACGGTGCCGGTCCAACATGTGCTTTAGGAGTGTGGACATCCCGAATACTTTGCGAGATAAACCTTGAGGCTCATACGCACGCAAGGGTGCCGCCAATTCGCGTTGTGCTGGAATGCCAGTAACCAAGTTTCGGAAGTCACTTGGGCTGAGCTCCACCGACGCATCCCGAGGTACCAACAGCTCTCGCTGAATGGCTTGGTCCTCGCTAAGCAACTTCGACAAGTCGGTCCTGTCCTGGTCGCTCAAGTGTTCGATCTCACGAGATTCTCGAGACCGCCATAG